AACTTGGCAACCAGGGCGGTTCGGAGCCTCCTGCTCACGCCAGGTGCATTTGTCTTGCAGCTGGAGGGGTAAACATTTCACCTGCTTGTTTGCCTCTGGGATCAATATGCAATGCAGGATAGGAGACACCATGTCATAGTGCGCCTCCCCCAACTTCTTGCTCATGAAACATATGTAAGTACATCCATGCCATGCATTGCCTGCGGAGGTCAAAAGAGGGCATCAGCTCTCCTGGAACTGGAGCTATGGATGGTTGTTAGCCACCATGTGGGTGCTGAGAACTGAACCCAGGTCCTCTGCAAGAGTAGCCAGTGCTCTTAACTGCCGAGCCATCTCTCCAGTCCCTTAAGATGTTTTAAAGAGGTAAGATCCTTCTTTCTTCCTAATACCAAGACTATTTTCCACTACTGCTTATTCAGACATTTCCCCCATTACTTAGCCAGCGTATACCTTTGGGACATAGTTTTATCTCCTTTGCAGTTACTGCTAAACATCCTATATTTTAATGTCTTTGTTTACTGGCTGTTCATATTTGCTATTAGAATTAAGGCGACCAAGATGCTTTGGGGGGGGTGAGGGGATGCTAATAAAATTTGATGCCAGGACAAGAGATAAGACCAAAGAAGCGATGGTTTTAGTGACAACACAAGTTCAAAAAGCTCAGGAGCTTTTGGTGTAACTCTTTTCACCCCTAGGTCCTCCCTGTCAAAATCAGCACTGGGCATACATACCGAAGGTGCTCCATAAGAATGTCCTAAGACCAGCCATCACAGCAGCAGCTGGGAGTGCATGGCAGGGTTCACACTTGGCTTCCTCACCAGTTAGTTGCATGGCTTCTACTTCGTGTGTGTGTGTGTGTGTGTGTGTGTGTGTGCAATTTCCTTGACCTCTGTACACTTCTGCCTTCGCCATGCTCAGACAGTGCTAACCATGGTCAGATAGGTATAACCATACCTATCTCACTTGACTAGGTGAGAAGATTACCCACAGCACCCAACATAGGAAAAATGCACAATAAGATCAACTGCAATTAGTATCTGTTATTCAGAGAAAGTTTCGATAAGGCACATGAAGCAGATGGCTGTGACACTGTCTACCTAGCACTCTTCTCACAGTCACAAAAGGAGCCACCTTGCATGTATAGGATGCCTGACCCAGCCTGTCTGACCCTGAAATGGGCCCTAACCCAAGCAAGGCCTATGGTTCTCTCCTGAGACCCAGTGAACTGCCTTTTTATGGTGGCTGAAGGAATGGGGTCTATAGATCCAGTGTGATTGGTGGCCACATTTCCCATTCTGAAGAGAAAGCAGGGCCCCTAAGAGAATGATGACGAACAAGAGGATTGTTGTTGAAGACAGAGCTGGGGCCCCTCACCTTGGCTCTCCTTACTCCCCAGACCAGCTCTATTTCTGCCTCCCATAAGCACAGTTCAAAAATGTCCTATGAGCCAGAAACTGCCTCTTTGACCCAAGCTACTTTGAGCTCCAAATGCAACCAACCAATGACTCCTAAGAAAGGCATCATGTCCTATAGAGAGCCAGGAATCACGGTGGACAGAGCCAGCCTGCTAAGATAGAACTGCTTTTTAAAAAATATTTATTATTTTTGTTTTATGTGTATGAGTATATTGCCTGCAAGTCTGTAAGCACAACATTGCACATCTGTGTGTACAATGCCTGCAGAGGTCAGAAGAGGGTGTCAGATCTCCGTGGAGCCGCCATATGGGTGCTGGGAATTAAACCCAGTCCTCTGTAAGAGCAGGTGCTCTTAACTACGGAGCCATCTCTACAGCCCCAGAGCTGGTTTTCTGTTTGTTTGTTTGTTGTTTGTTTGTTTGTTTAAAAAAGGATGATGAAGAGGAGACTGGAAACAGTTCCTGACAGTGTAATTGTACCAGCACTACACTGAGCACTCAGTTGCATTATCTCACCTGTCCCTCGAGGCCACTCTGTGCTGTAGGCACCATATTTATCCCTATCTTATGGAGGGGAAAGCTGAGACTTGGACACCCAGAAGAGCCATCCTGAGGCTACACAGTCTGGAGGGCATCACTGCTGACCCCTAACAGCCCTTCTGTCCTAGGAGACTTATCTAAGCCAGTGATTGTGAGAGGCCCGCTGGTGAAGCCATTAGTCCAAGAATGGGAGGGTGACCTACATGGGCCCAACCAGCCTAGAGAGGAGGATTTGTATTTTGTGGCTGGGCATCCTGCTGCTTCTGCTCAGGGGATCCAGCCATAGAAAGAAGCTGGTGTTGGCTCTAAGAAGAGTAACTCAGGAAAGCTGAGTTTAACTTCTGATTAATGATGACTTACATTTTAGTATAAGTGTGTCCTTAATATTGCATGGGGTGTACTTTAATACAAAGAAAGCATTCATTGATGTCTTAGTCTGCCTTCAATTGTTGTAATTAACATCATGACGCAAAGCAACTTGGGGAGGAAAGGGTTTATTTCACCCTCAGCTTATAGTTCATTTTGGAGGGCAGACAGCAGGAGTTCAGGTCAGGAACCTGGAGCACAGACCACGGAGGTACACTGTTTATTGGCTTGCTCCTTTGACCTGCTTTCTTATACAATACAGGACCACCTGCCCAGGGGTGGCACCACCCACAGTAGGCTGGGCCCTCCCACATCACTCAATAATCAAGAATATGCCCCACAGACTTTGCCCAGGCCAATCCAATGGAGACAATTTCCTGAATTGAGGGTCCCTCTACCCAGGTGTGTCAAGTTGACAACTAAAGCTGTCCAGCACAACTGGCTATCTGATTTCTAGTTCACCAGGGCATTTTCTATTTTTATTTGTTAAGCATGGTTCAGAAGCAAGAAAAAGTACTGACAATTCAGGAGACTGTGGACACACAGCCTGAAGCCCACACCACCTCAGAACTTCCGATTCCACAAGGTAATCACATCCTTGACTGGCTACAAAGGCCCGAATTTCTCTCATACTCCAAGTCCCCTATCTTGTGCAGTGATTTCCAACACGGGCAGGAAGGCTGCTCAGCTGAAACTCCCTCACCATACTAAATCCCTAAGGCATGAAAACTAAACACCATATTAAAAGCTACAGGGTTCATGTTTGGCACCTTGAATTTGTATTTTAGAACTGTAAGAATGCAGCTTGTCAGACTTACTGGAATTCATCAGATTCTCCTCAGTCAATGTAAATTTGCTATTATAAAGCCACAGAATTCGAATTCACTGAAAACTGTAAAACTCCTTCATGAATACTAACAAACTCTAAAATCACAGCGAAGATGACTGCCTACAGCCATCTAAAACATCCAGCAAGCCAAGACTAAGGATTCCAGTTTTTAAATGGTAATGATAAACTCCCATGTAATTTTGTTTAGAAAAAAACATCAATTAGCTGCACAGAAAAATTAGACTTTAGATCAAACATGGAACATTATAAACTAATCACATAGACCAGGAGGGAGTCAGAAACAAGAACTGTTGGACAGGTGGCTGTGTACTGAGTTATCATTTAAGGATAAAAGGCATGTGTGTGATTATGTGTGTGTGTGTGTGTGTGTGTGTGTGAGAGAGAGAGAGAGAGAGAGAGAGAAAGAGACTATTCACCAGAGTCAGAAATCTGAAAATAATGAACCCAATGGTTTTATATGCAGTACTTTTATGTCATCAGTCAACAGAATGTCACCTATACTGTGTTCATTGACATGTATCATTAATGAACAAAGGATGTTGAGTTAACCTTTATAGCTGAGAACAGTCACTAAGTCTTAGTTTATTTATTTATTATTGTTTGTTGAGACAGGATCTCCCTGTATCCCCAGCTGGCCTGGAACTATGTAAACCAGGCTGGCCTCTACCTCACAGAGATCTACCTGCCTTTGCCGAGTGTTGGGATTAAAGGCACGCGCCACGGTGCCCAGCTATCCTGGCTTATATCTCCCAGTTCTGAAGTCCTGCTCAAGGGAAGAGGTCTGCCATAACAGAAGGTACCACCATGGATATCATCACTATCTGGGCACACTGAAACCTCTAACTCACAGGATGTGGCCAATGCAGGACAACTGCAAAGTTAAGGAAACTTTTAATAAAGACATCTTTGGAAAAAGATCACTCTTTAATATGCATGTAGGAGTAAGTCCAAAATGATCCAGAAATTAACAACTTTAATAAATTCACTGTTCATCAGCATCAGAAATCAAAACAAATCTACAAATCCAGACGCTTGCTTTTATCACCTAACAAATTTAGATACTCACTTCTATCAGTATAATGAAACAAACAGTACAATCCCAGTAGGGTTTGTGCGGGGAGATCAGAGCAAGACTTGATAAAAACATCTCTCAGTTTTAGCTGGAAAAAAGTAACAAATACGAAACTCTGAAAAGGAAGATCCAGGGAAAGGAGACTGGCCCCAAAAAACATGAACAGCACCGTAAAGCAAAACAAATGAATAAGAATTAATGTGGGACAGTCACAGGCCTGTACAGGAAACCCAATGGAACAAATCAGAAAGTTCAGGAACAGATGTGTGAATACATGAGGAAGTGAGAATGTGGATTAGTCAATAAACAAGGTTGGCTAGCATGTAGAGAACAAAAATGTAAACAGCTTGAGAGTTTTGACAGAAGACGTGTTTAAAAGTCTGAAGTGGGAAGATCTTCAAGGCAGAACAGTGTGCCTCCTCCAAACAGTAAAGAGCTGCTGCCCTGAGCCCTCAACTCAGTTTCCCAAGAGAATTTCTAGGGACTGCAGGGCACAATCAGCTGGAGTCTTCCCCATACTCTGTTAGGCTGCATGCTGTAACCATTTTGTTCCTCGTGCCCCCTCTCCACAATCAGAACCTATACCAGCTGCCCTGCCATTCCTCCAACAGCACAAAGGGTTCTGGGGAAACTTAAACAGAAAGTTTGTTCTATACATTTAGGGATTTCCTGATTGTTATAGATTTCCTTATCTAACTGTGGTAAAGCAACAGTCATCCTTATCTGAGAGTTTATTAGACACCAGAAATAAACCTTACCTGCTTCCTCTTTTCAGGGGGGAGTGACGGATCTCCATCCTATAAAAAACAAATAGAATTTACTTTTTAAGAATAAATGATATGCTTAGACTGACAATTAGAATCTCTACCCTCAGTTGAACCAAATTATGAATCTAAACTCAGATGTTATCTTCACCACCCTACCCCACTACCCTAACTCTTCACCCTATCCCACCACCCTAACCCACCATTTTAACCCATTACCCTAATCCACCACCCTAACCCACCATCCTAACCCATCTTCCTAACCCTAACCCTAATCCTAACCCTAACCCTAACCCTAACCCATCACCCTAATCTACCACCCAATCCCCACTAACCTTGAAACTAATAATGTGGGAAAAGAAGCTCAACTACCCCTTTTTTAAAGCTATCAACTGAAACAGAATTATTTGGGGAAAACCCCTAGGATACCAGCTCCAAATAAGACCAAACATATTTTCTAAAATGCTGTTACTAAAAAATACCTAGATTGATCAAAATTATTCTTGAACAGAGCCTAAACTGAAATATTTCATTTGGTCAAAGTTCTTCTTCTAAATAGAACTAAAAGAATAGCCACTGATGGTATGCACACAGATACATGCATGCCCACATACACCCACACACCTCTGCATATTCATTATGTGCAGAATAATGGGGGAGGGGATAAGATTTTCTCAAAATAAGTAACACTGAGAACTTTCCAAACCTATTAGACTTTCTGTCTTATAAGGCTGAATTCTCTCCCATCTGTGCCATTTGGGAATATAAGTATCTCAGGTGAATAAAAACTGTTCACTAAATGAACACCCTTTTTATTATTGTTGGAGTTTTGTTTAATGAGACAAGGGCTTCTCTGTGTAACCTAGGCTGGCCTCAAACTCCCCATCCTCCTGCCTCAGTTTGCCAAGTGCTGCTATTACAGGAGTATGCTACCACGCTCAGCCAAATGAGTTCTCTCACGTAGATGCTATTCATATATTTGAACCTTTGCTTCAAGCCTGTTCAATGATCCCAATATTAGCAATAGTGTTTGCACTTCAAAGAGATGGTGCACACCTGCAATCCCAGCACTTGGAAAGAGAAGGCATAAGGATCACAAGTTCAAGGCCAGTATAAACTGCATAGGGAGTACTAGGCTATCTGAGGATGCACAGAGGCAAACTTGTTGAGAGAAAAGAGAGAACAGAAGAAAGAAATTCCATGAACTAGGGGAAAGAAGCAAGGACATGAAACCACACTCTGCAGGTGGCATCCTCTGCCTCCACCTAACCTGCATCCTTAGAAATCTTGTCATACAGGGCTAGAGAGATGGCTCTGTGGTTAAGAGCACTTCCTGCTCTTCCAGAAGACCTAAGCTCAGTACCCAGCACCTACACTGGGTGGCTTACAACAGCCTGTAACTCCAGCTCCAGGGGATCTGAGGCCCTCTTCTGGCCTCACATGCACATACACATAAATTAAAATAAAAGTTTTTTTAAAAAATCTTGTCATAAGAAATTCTAGAAAAAAATTGAAACACCCAAAATAACAGAATGTTTACAAAAATGAGGACTGTAACCCTGAAATGAAGAAAGCCTGTTTTAGAAAGCACTGACATGTGCTGCCCAGCAGAAATTTGCGGTGACAGAAACATTCTGTACAACTCCCACAAGCCACAGGAGCCATCTCTCTCAACACACATTGTACAATAGCCACCAACCGCCTGTGGGGTCTGGGCCCATGCAATGTGACAATTGACACTGAGGAACTAAGTGTTTTATTTTCTTTAATGCTAATTAATTCAGCTAAGTTTAGACAGTCATGTATAGCTGGCAGCCTTTGTATTAGTGTAGGTTTAGGGTATGAGTCCTCTATAAAATAACAAACAAAAGTATGTAACAGGGGCTGGAGAGATGGCTCAGAGGTTAAGAGTAACTGGCTACTCTTGCAGAGGACCTGCAGGTTCCTAGCATTAGTTAGTAGCTAACAACCCTCTTCTGGCCTCAGAAAGTACTGCATGCATGTGGTGCAATTACAATCAGGCAAAACACTCATACACATAAAATAAATTTTTTTTAAAAATTTGTCTGTATCAATGAATTAAAAAGGAAAAAGGACACTATAAACACACATGAACACAAGTGTCTCTGCAAATTATAGCCAGCAGCATGGAAGTCCATACTTGCAGACCAGGAGTACGAATAGGTTGTGGAAGAAACCACTTTCTCTTTGACTTTTGAACTTTTATTTTGTTTGTTTGAGGGGGGAGGTTGTGCATTTTTGTTTGTTTGTTTGCTGGTTCACTTGAGACAGGGTTTCATGTAGCCCCAGCAGGCCTCTAACTCACTATTTTAGCCAAGGATGGCCTTGAACTCTTGATCCTTCTGCCTCCACTCCTGAGTCCTAGGACACTGTAGTACAGCACCACACCTGGCTACTTTTGAACTGTTGGCATGGGACAGCTTTTGAGGAGACAGCACATGACACCCTCTTCCTTTTATCTTCAGAAAGGGTGCCAGGCAGTCACCACAGCGTCAGACTTACAATCAACTCTCGGAATTTCTTCTTCAGGGACTGGTGGCGTTCCCGAAGCTGATTGGCCATGAGTTTGTACTGGTCCCTTTCCTGCTGGCAGGTGTCTAGCTCCTTCGAGAGGATCAGCAGGGCCTCCTTCTTGCTCTCCAGCTTCCGTTTGCATACCAGATACTGCAGAACAAACAGCTACTGGTCAGGCATGGCTGATAGGCCTCTACCTTACACACTGCACTCTACACACTCTTTAGGGTTAGACACCTTAGACCCTCAGACACTTATCAGTGAGGGACATGCACAGAAGGCTGCTATTGCCTGATCCTCTCAAGACAGAATCCAAACCTTAGATGTACAGAAACTTCCACAAACTAGGACAGATAAAATAATTTAATTGGCAAACAATTTAAAACGTAGAACTACAGGCCAGTGAGATCTCAGTAGATTAAAGCTCTTGCCATCAAAGCTTTATAACCTGAGTTTGATCCCTAGAACCCACAATAGAAGGGAGAACTGACTCCTCCAAATCATCCTCTGACTTCCACATGTATGCCATGGCTTACACACACATACACAGGTACACATATCCTATACTTACATACACAAACAACAATAACAATAATAGTAAAAGTAGAACCATTGTTAAAATCACATAATTATAAATAGATATCTGGGTCCCATTTTTTTTAATTTTTAAAAAATTTTTAATAACTACATGATTAGAAGAAGCATTTCATTACAGCTTTAACATATTCAGTTAACACACTCCAGGGCAAGAGTCCCTATCTTTCACAAGTGGCTGCAAGTTTCTAGGTTCACAGTTGAATTAATACAGTTATACAATATTGAACTCAGTATAAGTCCTGTAAGACCCGATTTTATTTAAAGTTGGTAGATAAGATTATGTGAAATTTTGTTAAACTTTTGCTAAGTGATATAAAGATATTTAATGAAAATTTTATAAATATTGATAACAATGATCTCTTGTCAGTAATTTCTTTTCCCTGAGTTTTTAATTTTTCTTTGTTTTTCTGTGTTTTCTTCATTTTTGAGCATAAGATCATATGATGTCTATCTCTAAAATATCCCCCAAATGTTATTAAAATGATTTAATTGAGGAGCTGGAGGGATAACTCAGAGGTTAAGAGCACTAGCTGCTCTTGCAGAGGACCAGGGATCCGACACCCTCTTCTGACCTCCACGGGTATTGCACAACACAGATGCACTTACATGCAGGCAATACACTCATACACATAAACTAAAAATAAAAATAAATTTTAAAAAATGATTTAATTGAACCATACATCACTTCATAGATCATTCCTGTCCCTGAAACCCAGAAGCCATTATTCCCTTGAGAATTTGTTCACTGACTCAGCACCAATTTGTACAACCTCTTCTTTGATTCAAATGCAGGCACTTATCCATCACCCAGAGACCAATTTCAGGAGCTAAGTATTTTTGCCACACTATGAATTCTCCCTCACCAGGCACCTGGCTAGAACTCTGGCCTTCAAGCAATAGTATCATGTTATCTCTGCTTCTCTCTTCTGCCCTGCCCTAGGACCCAAGTTTGCCTAATAGTCACCCACTGTAGTGGCCAGTGTGAGCCCAGCAAGGAAGATTCTGCTTTTACTGGATATATTGCACTGTCTAGTGTTATTCACATATGTGAAATGTGGCACTAAATACCTTTTGAATTTTCCTCATAAAAGACCAAATTCAGAGCATTCATGAAAACAATTTATAGTTTCATTATGCACCCTGACATGAGCGCTTTGTCATCGTGGACGCTCACACAAAGCAGAGAGAGAGCGGCACTCCCATACCATTTGAGTCAATGCTCTTTATGGACAAAAAGCATTACTCATATATAGTGCTTGCTCAGAACCGACTTTGTTAAGTTCAATTTCAAATAAATGAAAGGAAAAAAAAGAGTCTTGTGCATTAGCCTTTTTTTTTTTTTCTTAAAAAAAAAAAGTAATTGCTTAGTTTCAAAAACAAAGGGGAAAGAAAAGGCTTTCTGAGGCAGATTTGTGTTCTGAGAGGACACTTCACCTTGTTTGAATTTTATTCCTGGAAGTAATGAGGTTGGAATCCTGCCTTAAAACGCACTGGATTTTGAGACTTCGACATCGTCTGCATGGCAGCAAAATGATTCTGTTACCACAGTGATTTCTCAAGAGTAAAATCCCCAATAAGTAAATATCAGAGACCAGCAGCTGGAAACCCTAAACTGCAATGCCCTGAGGGAGGCATCAAGATTTCACAGGGAAAAGTATCATTATACACCACTTAACCAACATGCCCTTGTTCTGTTCTCTTCTCACAATCATCAGCCAGGGCTGTGAATATCAGTGGCACATTCTGTTTATCAGATTCACACCTGAGGTCCCAAAGATGCTCAATACCTTTGACTTTGGGAACAAAATCCCAATTGTATCAAGACATTCCAGGGGTGAGCTCAGATGGAACACCCAGCTAATGAAGAGGTAAGGCCACTTCTTACTGGCAATGTGGAAATTTAACTTCTCTGTCCTTGAACAACAATATGTTAGGATCCAAGAGAAAAAATATTTCCCTCCCAGGCATAGTCCAAGATAGAAGTTGTGAAAAGCAGTAACAAAATGCCTGGGCTTCTGGGTCTATGGAACCTGGTAGAAATCAGGTACAGAAGTCTCTACTAAGCCACAGGGGCCCAGAGTTTGAGAAGCAGAGATCTGCAGTTTCATTTCCAAGCACATAGGAAAAACTTGTAACAGCTACAAGTTCCATCAAAAGGCAAGAAAACCAGTTCATGGCTCTGGGAACATCACAGAATAGGAAGTGGAAAGAATGTAAGAGCCAGAGGATGAAGGAGCACTGTAAAATGCTGTCTTGTGGATATGGCATGGTTGTTACACACGTGAACTCACTGCAGCTATAGCTGTCTACACAAGGCCTGTACAAGATCAAACCGACACAGTCAGTCAACATCCCAGTAGGTAGCACTAACTGGACTCAGTGGTGTGGGGGACCTGAAGATAGGAAGGGGGTATGTTTGGGGATGTCTTGGGGAGATGGGAAGGGGTAAGTATGAGTGCATAGGATTAAGATGCATTGTGCACATGTATGAAATTGGCAAAGATTAAATAAAGATATACATATGTTAAGACAAGAAGATACAGAAAATGAAGCCACACAAAGAAAAGATGATCTCAGAAAGTCAGTTCTCAGCTGTCATTTTTTCTCCTTGCCATGGTCTTGAGCACTGGTTGTCAAAAACTTATCCCATGTCCAGCAGAACAAACCTTAATTTGAAGCATCATTTATAAAACACCCCAATGTGGAGCTGAGTGCAGACTAACAGTAAAGAGCTGTTTTGGACAGTCACTTGCATCCACAGACAACTCTGCAGGATCCAGGAACACCATACTAAGATGCTCAGGTTAGGACTGTTTGTCATGAAGCGTAACTTAACCCACCCTGAAACACCATACAGAAGAACGTGACCGTTTGCAGCTGGGGGAGATTATGCCTGCCCTTGATCAGTGTCTGTGCTGGGTCACAACCATGAAGAGGAATCAATATTATTAGTAGTATTACTAGCAATAACAATGGTAAGCAAAGTCCCTGGCAAGTGCTTTACAGTGTTACTACCATCAACATTTATTTATTCATTCATTCATTTTTCTTTTTCATTTGAGATAGAGTTTTGCTAAGCATCTCAGGCTTGCCTCAAACTCATTATGTAGCTCAAGGTGGCTCAAACTCACAATCCCCCTAGCTCTCCTTTGGAAGTACTGAGATTTTAGAGGTATGTTCCACCACATCCAGCTATCATTAACATTTTTATAAATGAGCAAAACTTGAATGAGAGAGTGTATGTAATATAACAAAGATTTAGCAGAGCCCAAATCCGAACCCAGATCTTTATAGAGCTCACCCTGGGGAACCCTAATTCCTGGAAAACCATGCTGAATTAGCTACCTTTATGTGGTTGCAATAATATACCATGAACAATAGCAACTTAAGGAAGAGTTTATTTGGGCTTATGCTTCCAAAGGCTAAATGTCCATAACAGTGAGGAAAAGGCATGGTGGCAGGAAGCTGAGAGATCACACTTCAGCCACATACTAGAAGCAGAGAGAGAGAGAACTGAGGGTAGGGTGAGGCTATGAAACCTCAAAGCCCATTCTAGTAATGTACTTTGTCCATCAAGTTTCCACCTCTGAAAGGTTCCATAACCTCCCCAAACGGCACCAGTAACCGGGGACCAAGTGTTCAAACACATGAGCCTGTGGGGGCATTTTTTCATTCAAATCACAACATTCTTCCCCTAACTCCCATCTGCTCAGAACCTTATCATAAATCAAAATGCATTTAGTCCAACTTCAAAATCCTCCATAGTCTAACAGTCTCATCACTGTTCAAAAGGCCAAAGTTTCTTTTGAGACTCAAGGCAATCTCATAACTGTAACCCCCAATAATACCAAAAAGCAAATTACATAACTTCCAACATACAATGGCAGAGAATAAACATTCCCACTTCAAAGCAGAGGTACAGGAAACATAATGAGGAAATCCTGGACCAAAGGAAGACTAAATCCCAGCAGAGCAAACTCCAAATCCTCTAATTCCATATCTGGTATCTGAGACTTTAGTTTTGAAGGGCTTAGATGACTCCACCCCTCTAACTTTGCTGCCTGTAACATACATTTCTCTCTTAGGCTAGTTCCACTCCTGTATGCAGCTCTCCTTGGCAGATGTCTCATGGCTCTGGCATTTCCATCTTGTGGTCTCTATGACAATGCAGGCTTCACCTTCACGGCATCACTCAATGGCCTCTCAGGGCCTTCTTGCAAGAACTCCAGCCCTGCCACACATTGCCTGGCCTTAGACACTCTCTGAAACCACAGAGGAAGAATCTATATGCCCCCCCATTCTTGTATCTTTCATGTCTCCTATAGTAGTTTGAATGAGAAATGTCCCCCATAGGCTCATGTATTTGAGTACTTGGTCCCCAGTTGGTGGCACTGTTTAGGGAAGTTTAGGAAATGTGGCTTTGCTGGAGGAAAGTGCTGAGCACTTACAACCTCATCCTACTTCCAGTTCATTCTTCTGCTTCATGTTTGTGGTTAAAGAGTGGTCTCTCAGCTTCCTGCCCTGGCCACCTGCTGACTTGCCTCCCCTGCCAT